TACTGAAGAGACTGTCTTTTCTCCATTGTATATCCTTGCCTTCTTGGTCACAGATTAATTGACCACAGGTGCATGGGTTTATCTCTGGACTTTGTATCCTGTTCCATTGATCTGTATTTCTGTTTTTGTGCCAGTACCATACTATTTTCATGACTGTAGTTTTGTAGTATAGTCTGAAGTCCAGGAGCCTGATTCCTCCAGCTCCATTTTTCTTTCTCAAGATTGCTTTGGCTATTCAGGGTCTTTTGTGTCTCCATACAAATTTTAAGATTTTTTGTTCTAGTTGTGTGAAAAATGCCATTGGTAATTTGATAGGGATTGCATTGAATCTGTAGATTGACTTGGGTAGTATAGTCACTTTGACAGTTTTGATTCTTCCAATCCAAGAACGTGGTATATCCTTCCCTCTGTTTGTGTCGTGTTCGATTTCTTTCATCAGCATATTAAAGTTTTCAGAGTACATATCTTTTGCCTCCTTAGGTAGGCTTATTCCTAGGTGTTTTATCCTTTTGATGTGGTGGTAAATGGGATCACTTCTTTAATTTCTCTTTCTGAACTACTGTTGTTAGTGTATAGAAATGCAGTAGACTTCTATGTCTATATTTTATATCCTGCATTACCGAATTCATTGATGAGTCTAGTAGTTTTCTAGTAGCATCTTTAGGATTTTCTGTCACCTGCAAACACTGACAGTTTTACTTCTTCTTTTCCAATTTGGATTCCCTTTATTTCTTTTTCTTCTCTGATTGCTGTGGCTAGGACTTCCAAAACTATGTTGAATAAAAGTGGTGATAGTGGACATCTTTGTCTTGTTCCTGATCTTAGAGGAAATACTTTCAGTTTTTCACCACTGAGCATTATGTTAGCTGTAAGTTTGTCATATATGGCCTTTATTATGTTGAGGTAGGTTCCCTCTATGCCCAGTTTATGGAGAGTTTTTTTTTACCATAAATGGGTGTTGAATTTTGTCAAAAGTTTTTTCTGCATCTATTGAGATGATCATATGGTTTTTATTCTTCAGTTTGTTAATGTGGTGTATCACATTGACTGATTTGCATATATTGAAGAATCCTTGCATTCCTGGGATAAATCCCACTTGATCATGGTGCATGATTCTTTTAACGTATTGTTGGATTTCGTTTGCTAGTATTTTGTTGAAGATTTTTGCGTCTATGTTCATCAGTGATATTGGCCTGTAATTTTATTTTCTGTGGTATCTTTGTCTGGATTTGGTATCAGGGTGATGGTGGCCTCATAGAATGAATTTGGGAGTGTTCCTTCCCCTGAAATTTTTTGGAATAGTTTCAGAAGGATAGGTGTTAACTCTTTTCTAAGTGTTTGATAGAATTCACCTGTGAAGCCATCTGGTCTTGGACTTTTGTTTGTTGGAAGATTTTAAATTACAGTTTCAATATCATTACTTGTGATTGGTCTGTTCTTATTTTCTATTTCTTCCTGGTTCAGTCTTGGGAGGTTATACCTTTCCAAGAATTTGTCCATTTCTTCTAGGTTTTCCTTTTATTGGCATATAGTTGCTTGTAGTAGTCTCTTATGATTCTTTATTTCTGTGGTGTCATAACTTTTCCTTTTTCTTTTCTAATTTTATTGTTTTGAGCTCTCTCCCTCCTTTTCTTAATGAGTCTGGCTAAAGGTTTATCAATTTTGTTTATCTTCTCAAAGAACTAGCTTTTAGTTTCATTGATCTTTTCTATTGTTTTCTTCATCTCTATTTCATTGACTTCTGCTCTGATCTTTATGATTTCTTTCCTTCTACTAACTTTGGGTTTTGTTTGTTCTCCTTTCTCTAGTTGCTTTAAGTGTAAGGTTAAGTTGTTTATTTGAGGTTTTTCTTGTTTCCTGAAGTAAGACTGTATTGCTATAAACTTCCCTCTTAGAACTGCTTTTGCTGTGTCCCATATGTTTCAGGTCTTCGTGGTTTCATTTTCATTTGTCTCTAAGGTATTTTTTGATTTCCTCTGATTTCTTCAGTGATCCCTTGGTTATTTAGTAGCGTATTGTTTAGCCTCCACATGTTTGTGTTTTTTACAGGTTTTTTTTCCTTGTAGTTGATTTCTAATCTCATAGTGTTGTGGTCAGAAAAGATGCTTGATATGATTTCAATTTTCTTAAATTTACCGAGGCTCGCTTTTTGGCCCAGCATGGGATCAATCTTGGATAATGTTCCATGTGCACTTGAAAAGAATATGTATTCTGCTGCTTTTGGATGGAATGATCTATAACTATCAGTTAATCCATTTGGTCTAATGTGTCATTTAAGGCCTGTGTTTCCTTAATGATTTTCTGTCTGGATGATCTGTCCATTGATGAAAGTGGGGTGTTAGAGTCCCCCATTATTGTGTTACTGTCAGTTTCTTTTTTATGGCTGTTAGGAGCACCTCAGTATATTAGGCAAATGCTATGTTGGGTGCATATATGTTTACAATTGTTATATCTTCTTCTTGGATTGATCCCTTGATCGTTATCTTGTGTCCTTCTTTGTCTCTTGTAACAGTCTTTATTTTAAAGTCTACTTTGTCTGATATGAGTATTGCTACTCCAGCTTTCTTTTGATTTCTATTTGCATGGAATACCTTTTTCCATCCCCTCACTTTCAGTCTGTATGTGTCCCTAGGTCTGAAGTGGGTGTCTTATAGACAACATGTATACGGGTCTTGTTTTTGTATCCATTCAGCCAATCTATGTCTTTTGGTTGGAACATTTAATCTGTTTCTGTTTAAGGTAATTGTTGATATGTATGTTCTTATTGCCACTTGGTTAATTGTTTTGGATTTGTTTTTGTGGGTCTTTTTTCTTCCCTTCCTCCTTTGTTCTCTTCTTTTGTGATTTGAGGACTAACCTTAGTGTTGTGTTTGGATTCTTTTTTCTTTTTTGTGTGTATATCTATTGTATATTTTCAGCTTGTGGTTACCATGAGGTTTTGCTGTAGCAGTCTATATATAAACAAGATTGTTTTTAAGTTGCTGGTCTTTTAATTTCAAATGCATTTACAATATCCTGCATTTGTGCTTTCCTCTTCTCACAGTTGCTGGTTTTGATATCATATTTGTGTGAAAATGATTTCCTACCTTTACTGTATATCTGCCTTTACCAGTGAGCTCTTCCATTCGTAATTTTCTTGTTTCTAATTGTGGCCTTTTCTTTTCTGCCTAGAGAAGTTCCTTTAGCATTTGTTGCAAAGCTGGTTGGGTAGTGCTGAATTCTCTTAGCTTTTGCTTGTCTGTAAAGCTTTTGATTTATCTGTCGAATCTGAAGGAGAGCCTCACTAGGTACAGTATTCTTGGTTGTAGGTTCTTCCCTTTTATCACTTTAAATATTTCATGCACTGCCTTCTGGCCTGCAGAGTTTCTGCCGAGAAATCAGCTGATGATCGTATGGGGATTCCCTTGTATGTTTGTGCTTTTCGCTTGTTGGTTTTAATACTTTGTCTTTAATTTTTGTCAATTTGATTCCTATGTGTCTCGGCATGTTTCTCCTTGGGTTTATTCTATCAGGGGCTCTTTGCTTCCTGGACTTGGGTGACTGTTATTCTTCCCATGTTAGGAAAGTTTTCAGCTATTATCTCTTCAAATATTTTCTCAGGTCTTTTCTCTCTCTCTTCTCCTTCTAAGACCCCTATAATGCCACCAACATTTGTTGGTGCATTTAATGTTGTCCCAGAGGCCTCTTAGACTGTCCTCATTTCTTTTCATTCTTTTACTCTTATTCTGTTCTGCAGCAGTGATTTCCACCATTCTGTCTTCCAGGTCACTTATCCATTCTTCTGCCTCAGTTATTCTGCTATTGATGCCTTCTAGTGTATTCTTCATTTCAGTTATTTTATTGTTCATCCCTGTTTGTTTGTTCTTTATATCTTCTAGTTCTTTGTTACACATTTCTTGCATCTTCTCAATCTGTACCTTCATTCTTTTTCGAGATCTTAGAGCATCTTTACTATCATAACTCTGAATCTGTTTCAGGTAGATTGCCTATCTCCATTCCACTTAGTTGCCCTTCTGAGGTTTTATCTTGTTCCTTCCTCTAGGACATATTCCTCTGCTGTCTCATTTTGTCTGACTAACTTTCTGATTGCAGTTTCCATTCTGCAGGGTTGTATTTCTTTGTGCTTCTGCTGTCTGCCCCCTGGTGGGAAGGACTGGTTCTTGTCCACCAGTGGGTGGAGCTGAGTCTGTCCCTCCAGCAGGTAGGGCCATATTACAGGGTGTTTATTGGGCAGCTGTATGCTCAGGAAGACTTCAAGCAGCCTGTCTGATGAAGGGTAGGGCTGTGTTCCTGCCCTGTTGGTTGTTTGGCCTGAGGCATCCCAGCACTGGAGCCTACAGGCTGTTGGGTGGGGACAGGTCTTGGTGAGAAGGGGTGGCCTCTAGGAGGGCTCATGCCAATGAGTACTCCCCAGAACTACTGCCACCAGTGTCCCCACACTGTGCCAGAGCCACCCCCATCTCCACAGGAGACCCTCCAATACTAGCGGGTAGGTCTGACCCAGTCTCTTATGAGGTCACCCCTTTTTTCTCTGGGTCCTGGTGCTCACAAGACCCTGTGTGCACCCTCCAAGAGTAGAGTTTCTCCTTCCCCCAATCCTGTGGAATTCCTGAAATCTTACCCTGCTGGCGTTCAAAGCCACATTCTCTGGGGGGCTCCTCCTACCATTGCCAGACCCACAGGCTAGGGTGCCTGACGTGGTGCCCAGAACTTTCACTCCTGTCGGAGAATTTCTGTGGTTTAATTATTTTCCAGTTTGTGGGTTGCTCACCCCCCAGGTATGGGATTTGATTTTATCGTGGTTATACCCTTCCTACTGTCTCGCTGTGGCTTCTCCTTTGTCTTTGGATGTAGGGTATCCTTTCTGGTAGGTTCCAGCATTTTTTTGTCAATGGTTGTTCAGCAGTTAGTTGTGATTTGGGTGTTTCTGTGGGAAGAGGTGAGCTCATGTCTTTCTACTTCGCCATCTTGTCTCCGCCCACACTGGATCCTTCCTCAAAAAAAATGACTCAATTTAAGCCTGAATAATAAAAAACATATAGTTTATTTCTTTAAAATTTTATAAAATATTTATGAAGAGAAATAATCTGAATTAAAATGATGTCAAATATGTTTTAATATATGTCTTAAGGGTGTCAGTGCATGGAGTAAAGCATGATATTAGGTGACTATTTTTCTTGTCTTTATCTGTAGAATACGTGCTTGTATTATACACCCATGACAAGTAAATAAGCTTTTACAACTTTTATTTGAATCAAACCTTACAAATGAAAGATGTTTTAGCAAAGGAAAGCCATACAGACCTCCTATACTTTTTCTTCAGAGCCCATAGCTTAAGAATGATTTGGTGGGGACTTCCCTGGTGGTCCGGTGGTTAAGACTTCACCTTCCAATGCAGGGAGTGTGGGTTCTATCCCTGGTCAGGGAGCTAAGATCCCACATGCCTCATGGCCTAAAAACCAAAATATAAAACAGAAGCAATATTGTAACAAATTCAATAAAGACTTTAAAAATGGTCCACATCAAAATATATATATATATTAAAAAAAATTTTTAATGATTTGGTGATTAAAATATTACTACAGATCTTTAGAGCACATTGCACTTATATTTCACAAAAACTTTTTGTGCTTAAGAAAGATAAGGAAAATAAGGAAAGAGGACCATTCGATATTGTATTTTATATTAATAATTTTCCTCTCAGTTGCTGAACACTTGGTGGTGCTTTCAAGAGCTCAATGGGTCAGCACTTTATAGACTCTAAACACACTGGAAAATAATAACAAAGAGGATACATATTAAAAATTCAGGTGCTCAAGCATGCTTCTGAAAAACTATTCACATTACCCTAGATTTACTAAACCTCTTTAAATACTATTGGGAGTTGATGTTCTTACTCAAGGCATGACTGTTATTAACAATCTTGCTTTCCTGGCACACCAAATAGAGCAAGAAGTTTTCAGTAAGAAAGGTCCTAATGGAAAGCAGATTTTAACTAGGAAAGGGTTTGTGATTCACTGGAGAATAAACATTATTTGTAAATGCTCTGCTCACGCTTCATTTAGTCAAACCTCTCTTTATTTGAAGTAGTTAAGTAAGTCCCTGTAATCAAAAAGTATAGACGTACGTGTGTGTGTGTGTGTGTAATAGTAGCATAGGGCTAGGGAAAAAATTTATCTATCTGGTCTAAAGTTCTTATTTTAGACATTACCTCCTTTAATATGCTCATTTATAGAGGGCCAGATAAGACAAGTCATTTATCCAAGCTGTTGTGTCTAGTGACAGAATCAAGAAAAATTCTGGCTTCATTAACCACCCACTGTTTTTCTTATCTGTAGTATTAATTGAAAGAGCTTATAGAAAAACTGAGGATTTCAGATTGGTTCAAGAAGCCTGTTCTCAAAATTTTAACTTAATTCAACCAAAACTCTAACAAAATTGTATTTAAATAGCATGGCCTACTCTCTACCTGCCAAAAATTTTATTGTGATATGGCTCACTAGGATGATGTTTATAGTGGAAAGAATTTGAGAGAGTTAGTTAGAGAATCTGAGTTTGAATCTTGACTTCATCTATTCCCCCTCTCGTAGCAGAGAGTCCTGGGGAAAGTGATGACTTTCAAGATCACACAGGTAAATTACTACTGGATAACAATAATACATGCATACAATCTACCATCAGCAAAAGTTAAGCAATTACCTCTTTGATTCTCTACTTTTTTTTATCTAGATGATGAAAAAAAAATCTGTCTAGTCTGCTTCCTGAGACTCTTTGAGAGCTAATTAGATTGCTGTAGTGATGTTATTACATTATTTTATAAAATCTTATACTATGTTACTGTAAAAAAAAAAAAACAAGTTCCTTTTGTGTGAAAATTTGACTTTACTGTTTTGGGAATCCAGTATTTCATTTTACAACAGTCCGTTGCTGATGAAATCAAAGTTATTGATTGACGTCTGTTTTAGACAATAATGGTCATCCAGAAAAAAATTCCCTTTTCCTTGAATTTATAATTTACCCTTAATCCTGATCAGCTTTCTCACACATAGACCTAAGAGAGTTCTTATAAAAAAGGAAGAGTGTTTGGAAGGGAAAAGGAACACTTATTGGGCTCTTAGTTTGTGTCACATGCTCTACTAATTATACAATTAAATTTCATTTGATTATCAAAAGTACTCCTCCTATGTTATCAGGGGTTCATCGATAATGAAAATGAGAACTGAAAGCCTTATAAAGTTAGCCTAATTTAGTAAGCAGAAGTTTTACCATTTGAACTCAGGTCTGATTTACCCCTTTTCAAGTTATCACTCTTAAACATTTAACAACGGGTGAAGGCAAAGCCTATTTCATTTTCCTGTATGAATGATGGCATGGTGGGAGGAGATGGAAGTAAAGAATATATCACTTTTTAAAATGTAATTTGTCTATGAAGAATACTTGATGTACAGATAATACTACTTTATCACATCGTCAATAAACATTAGCTTGCATCATGCCTATTTGTCCTTCAGATGCTAAAATTAAACCATGATGGGAGAATTTAATTATTAAAAACAGCTATCTTTAGATAGGAAAAAGTAGAACCAAAATTTAAATGAATGATAGCCATAAGTGTAAAAGATCACCTACAGAGAAAGAACTATATTTACTCTATTTTTTGTTTGTAAATTAACAAATTGATGTTCACAGTATGTGCTTCTTAGATTTTTATGCTTACATTTATTATCTGGACTTGTTCCCTTTACAATCATTGGTAAAACTTTAGAAATTTATCCCTTTATTCATTATTCTTTAATATTTGCTAGTGAGTGCCTACCCTCTACACTGTCCCAGGTGTTAGAGATACAGAAGTGACCAAAGCACAGCCTCTGCCATCAAGTAGCTTATATTTAGAGTAATTACAAATACTGGAATGTCTGTTTTATAAAAAGAATAACAGTACTTTGACTTACAGTAATTTAAGATTCTCATATGATTAACCATGGTCAGAATCACTCTATGTATTTATTTACTAGGTGACTGAGAATTTTGTTGCTTTCTTTGGGACATTGGGTATGATGGGTTTCCCACAATCATTACTATTCATGGTAAAGCAAAGCTAAACAAATTTTGTGACTTCGGGCATTTCCTAGAACACGAAAGAAGGAGCCTTCTGTAATCATATTATAGCATTGTACTGGCTTTGGAAACTCACTCTCTGTGTTCAAATCCCAGCTCCACTGCTTATTAGCTATGGGATTTAGGGCAATTTAGTAGACCTTGTGATTGTAGGTACTACACTGAAGTTAGCTATTATACTTATTCAATAGAAGTTGATAGAATTCAGTCCATTTTTTATTTCTAGAAACATTAAGCTTTGATTTGGCTGCTCTTATTGAAATTAGTCTTTATTTTGTTCTGAAAATTTTATCATCTTTCATGACTCAAATATAAGTTGTATAGTTACAAAAGAGAAGGGAAATGCTTTCAGATCAGCAATACGGTTTTAGAGATAGGTGAAGGCTAAAGTTAATAAGACTTTAAAACAAATGATTCAGCTGAGTGATTAATGCTAATTTTGATCTGCTCTAACATGGAGACTTATTTACAGATTTGTCGGCACCAGGGCATTACTGTGGGTTGCATTATTCATTTGTGTAATTAAGAACATTGGCGGTGGAGGAAGGAACTGCATTCAGGTCCTTTTTCTGCCACTTACTTGCTGTATGACCTCAGGAAGACAATTTAACCTCTGCCTCAATGTCCTCATATATTACAATGGAGATAATAAATCCTATTTTATAGGCTTCATATGAGAAGTCCAGTACACGTTTTTTAAGTGTTTATTACAGAAGTTAATACGGTAACATCAGCAGATAGTACTTCTGTTGTTATATTTGCTATTAAAGATATCTCCTTTGCAATATTAAAGGGGCATTTTTTAAAAATCATAAACCACATACAAGTCTGCAAGGAATAAAGACGAAGGAAAGTACAAAGGACAAAGAGAAGAGTAATGAAGGCTGGTTAGAAAACCTGAATGCAAGATGAAATTTGGTTTCGATACAGTAGTAGTCTACCATGAGCCCTCTCCTAGAAGGCCTCTTCCTCCTTAAAGCAAATGCTACTGAAATTAGACAAGGCCAATAGCGTGGCTCCCTTTCAGAGAGGTCAAAAGTAAGACCTGAGACATTTTGACAGTCTTCATGGTTCTACAAGTAAGCTAAATCAGCATGCATCCTGTTGTGAAGGGTACCAAAAAGGCTTTCTACCCTACCAAGAAATGCCTTCCTTTGGGGTCACAAATGGGGTCATTTTCTCCAGAGAAAATAACCCTAACCCCAACTGTAGGCTGAGCAGGTTTCCAGAGATAAATTATACCCAACACATGCTATTACAGGCACCATTGTAAAGTTAAGGGCAGTTTTATGCCACTGCATAGCAAAATGATACACTCTTCCTTTAAAGAAAGTTACATAAAATTTGGTATGTGATATCTAAAACTGAAATCGCAAAATTATTCTTTCACCAAGGAAATCTCAGATAACAGCACTTATTTTGCTGCTTTTTCCCCCGTGTTAAGGAATCAACCGAGTTTCTCCTCATTTTAGTACCTCACCGATGTTGTTAGTAAATTTCACATCTACCATTTTAATTTGCTTTACTGTTTGTCATTCTTTTGCAAATATCATAAAAATCCCTTTGTAATACTGACATGGAGTATCAATACCAACACCACTCTCCTTTTCATGTCAAATCCTGTTCTGCCTCTAAAGACAGGTATATCCCAGCCTTAGTAATAATGATTCATTTATCACCAGAATGTAATTCGTGGTAAATATCTTATTTTTCTCTTTTCTTTAAAAGTCAATTCTTACGTAAACTACACACAATTTTATTTCTTTCCTATTCTAAAATATAAAAAATCTGGTTCAGCATATGCTCCATTGTACATTTGAGCAATTTATGTCTCCTTATGGCTAATATGAATTGCCTAACCCTGCTATTGTTTTCATTTTCCACTTTCAGAAGTATCCTGGCAAAGCCTATGTTTATGAATTGGTACAAAATGTTTCAGACTGAGGAAGGAAAGTCTCTAAACAAATGCCCAAAGTGCATTGGCTTCCTAACTCGATGACCCCCCAAAGTGGTATTATATGAATTTTCAACAGTCTGAAATGTAAAAACTAATTCTTAGCAGTTTTGCCAGTTGCTCAGGGTTTTTGCTTATCCATTTTATTTTGGCATGTAGCATTGTCACGTCCGCTTTAACGTCTCCTGGAAAGTACTTCTTATTTTTTATTAACTATGTAATATTTGAACATTATTTAGCCTTGAATTTTCCTTCTCTTTTGTATTTTAAAATACATTTTCCTCATTTTAGAGAAGGTTTTCATAATGCCCCCCCATTGTGTCTTAGAGCATTTTATATGTGATAGTATTTATAATATCATTGTATTCTAGAATGCATGA